CTTCCACTGATGAAGCCAGAAATTGTGTACAGTATTTCTAACTCAATCTCACAAAGGCAACTGAGAGGTTTCCTAATAAAATTAAAAAGTGAATGGCAGCAAACAACTGAGACTGTGTCAAGAACCTTGCATAACTCCAAAAAAGAAGCATCAGGGCTGGCACTACACATACAGCTGAAGTGCCCAAATATGTCAGATGGAGCAAAAATCATCTGATCACTCTGAAAAGAGACCCTCACATCACAGAGTCATTATTAACATCCTACTGAGATCCCCAACATTATTCGTGTCTAAAACACATGAAAAGTTTGATGCACAGCTGTTTGGAGTGTAACTGTACCTCAACAGACTTAGCTGCAACCTAGTTCCCACTCTCATCCCATCCCAAGATTTGCTTTGGCAATGAAGATTCACAAAGACCAAAGACCTAAAGTGTAACTGGCATACTAAAGCCCAACAACAAAGAAGAGTTTTAACTGATTCTATACTCACATTTCAAATGTATATATATTTTTTTAAGTTAAAAAATTGAAGGACTTGCCTTCTCTACACAGTATCAGCATAAATGCATTTCTTGAATTTAATGGGTTTTCTACCCCTACAAATGTAACAAAAACAGGAAAAAAAATCATATGGAAGAGAGGGAAAAAGAAATCGACGCTATTTTCATCTTTTCTTTCACATCATCCAATGGTGTGAAAGAAATCAAATGTAATGTTCTATTACATGCCAGGAAAAGGTAACAATTTGAAGCTACGCTGCTTCCAAGGCTAAGAGTTAGCTACTAAAATATGTTTAATATTGGAGGACTAATATGAAGATATGGTTCTGGTTCTCTGGTTCCTTTCATCTACTGAACAGACCTCCAAAATTTAAGTACAAGATTTGCCATTTCAATAAGGTAGCAGATAGCAAGAACTATGAAGAGATCCTTCACCCTTCACAGTACAAGATACTTAAACAATTAGAGACATTACATGATACTTCATTTGTTTATGAAGACCCAAAAAATAGAGTAGAAGGGAGGAAGGAAGGAAGAAAAAAATTATAGCTGTGGAGATACCTTTTTCAGATATTGTGAGCAAATGAGAAATAATATAGTATAGCTATTTCAAGTGTGCATGTACACAACATACATGTTATTTTGTTGGTAAAGAGATCTACTTAAGCCAGAAAACCTTTGAAGCCTGAGAACATACAGCTAACCTGGACTTCAGAATGAGAACCTTACAGTTCTCCCAAGTACCCATTTCAACTGGATGTTATGTGCAGTGTGAAGGAAAGAAGGAGTGACAATGAAATTGACAACATTGAAAATTGAATTTGTAGCCTCCTAACCAATGGTTTCATGCTGGGAATAATTAAGAAATCATATGTTCACAAATAATCTACCTAAAATGTTTTCAGGAATACAAAAGTACAGACCCAATGCCCAGAGATCCCCATCCATCTGCCAAATCGCTGATAACATTAATTTCTTAATAAACAAAAAGGGACATCAAGCTTTCACTGAATGTTTTTTGTTTGTTTGTTTTAAAAAAAAAAGTTTCAGGTGTAATTAGCACTATTAAAAGCCGTTGACATGTAAGTTCACACAGAATGGGAACTGTTTACATGAGTCCTGGCATTAACTTCACTGCAGTTGCTTAGACTGAAGATCGAACAGTGTTTTGTTATGTGTCATTACAGGAAATGCCCTTCAGAGCCACAGACTATTGACAGGAAAACAACATACTGATATTCCATTGACTGCTTTATATGTCCTCGTATTTAAAAAATAAAATAAAATAAATTCAATGAGTTAGATTCCTACCAGTGCTTTTTAGGAAGTACACCAAATATACTTGTTACCATCATTTTAAAATAACATTATAGAAAGTAACATAGCCAGAAGCTACTGCTGCACAATTAGAATAAAAGCTTTGCTTCAATAGAAAAGACAGACCACAATCAGTTTGAGGAGAAACAAGAAGGTATGTGACTTTGACATGATGCCATTTCCCCCACCTTCAATCTCTTTTAAGGTAATTCACTTTAAGATGACTGACTTAAGGATCCCCCAAAGAATGGAAGATTTTTATCCTATTTACTTTTTCAGGTTAGTAAAAAGTCGCTTGATTGATTTGCACATACTTCTAACAAAACAGAAAACCCCCATACAGAAAGCCATGGTGGTAGAAACAGCAGGAAAGCAACATAAATCAGTGAAAAGCTAGGCAGCAAAGGGACTCTAAGGAAGATTAAAGAAAAAGGATCCAGAACTGGCATTATGCATGAAGAACAAGACAGGGTGCACTGTTTGTTTTCAATTTGACCAAAATGGAAGCTGGACAGGTAAAACGTTCTGCCTCATGCTGAAAATGTCTTTAATGAGTGATTTAGCTCATATGTATTATTTATTAGCTCGTTGCATAGCCTACTACAGAGAGCTGAAAGAACTCCAGCAAAACCTCTAAAACAAGAAGTCCCACATAATTTACCACTTCCGATTTGTTTTCTCAACCCTTAGAAGTTATGACTAGAATTGCTCGTTTAGACCGCTTTTGAGTAAAGGGAACAATTTCATTGAATAATGGAAATAAATTGTATCAGTTGATTCCAGTGCAAACTGAAGTGTCTATAGTAAATCCGCAGAATATTTTCCTTTCTATACCAAAGCTTATCCCACTACCTTTAAAATTCTTTGTAGAATTGCTTTAAAAGCATTCTCTAGCATTAAAGTTCTTAAGTCTGCTTTTATAAGCTACATTCTTTAATTGGTTGCTAAGAAACAGAGAAGTACAAAGACCAATATATTTGTTTTATCCTTGAGTGATACATTTTCTTCTTTTGTGAATGTGACTGCAAATTGACAATTTCATTTGAATTTGTAATTGAGTGACATAACCTGAAGAGTACTACAACATACTAAGTGAAGCTTATCTGAACTATACTGTAGTATAACTTAAACTTCACAGCATCAATATTAACCAGAACAGCTGAAACATGGTTTGTGAAGGTAATAAAAACTATTTATCAGGGTATTTGATATAAACACTTTTTGTACATAATGTAATATAGTGAAGTTCCACCAGAATTTTAATTTGCAGATCACTGTAACTTTGGAAGGGCAATTACAAAATAATTTAGATTTTTAAGGCTGTACTAAGCAGTGTATTACCTAAAGGCAAAATGCACGTGGAGAAGCAAAAAGCTGAAGATCAGTTTCTGAAAGCCATACACACTAGACTCCGAATAATTAACGAAAGTATTTTCCACCAAGGAAGCTATTTAAGTGTTTCCCATACAGCTCTCTCAAATACGTTTTCTGATCACTTAAATAGTGCTAGGGAATAAAGCCAAAACTAAACTTGTATGTTTTACAGAAACATCCCCCCCACACTCCCCAAATACCCAGTGTATGTGTTTGTAGGTTGTTTCTTTTTTTTTGTTTGGTTGTGTTTGTTTTGTTTTTTGGTGTTTTTACTTGGCAGACCTTACTTATCTAACAGCAGAAACAAAGTAACCTGGCCTGTCTAATTTTATCCAGAAATGTGAAGTCTTGGAAATATTTTCAACTTATATAACAAAGTACACTGCTTCTACTTGTACAATGTACCCACAAAGATTTTCTTTAGAGAGCTGTTTTGCCAACTAAAAATTGTAGATGGTAATATATATGAACTACAAGAAATTAAAGCAAAATTCTATTTAAGATGTAGTCACAGTGTTCAAGTACACCATGTAACAGAAGGAAACGTAGTGTAAGTTCTGTTTTCTATGGTGTAAATTAAATGCTTTACTCCTTCTACTTTATACAGAACATTAAGAATGTAGCAGAATTTGAGTTTTTTGTAATCTTGACAACTCTGCGTGCAGGCAATCCCCATTTCCTCCACACAATTTAAATGTGTAGTTAAGTACAAACCTGGAGGAGGATACAGAACATGTATAGTGCAGAATGACTTATTTTGTAAAGCCTCAAGGAGAACGTCCCAATACTGTTTGAGTGCTTTTGGAATAATGAATCTAAATGATGCCACCTAGAAATTTGCTTGGTAGCTCCTGTAAAGAACACATCTACAGTAATGCCTATACACAGCTTCCAATAGAAAATCATTGTTGCAAGAATGCTGGAGCGCAGTATCTTTTCCAAGTGGCGGTGTTTGAAAGTAGTGCATTAGTAAAGGAAGAGCTTAAGAGTCAAGAGAAAGAGATCTATTTCATAAGAGAAAAGAAAAATCCTTAGTTTGGGAAAGCAGTGAACAAGCTCAAACACCTACAAGCATAATTCCATGTTTTTATTGCATATCTTCTTTGCAGTTTATCTACATGCCTACAGTCCCCAATCTCAAGGTACCCTTTTGTATATCCTCCTCCTATATACCTTTGACATCTTCTGCAAGAAAGGAATAGCTGTCAAAACCTATTTTTGCAATTCAGTAAGACTGCAGCAAGAGAGGGAACAAGCTCTACACAATCAGCGGAAATGCACCAGAAGTTAGTGTACACAGATGTTGGACTGAAAAATCCTTTGCATGTGCTATGCATGATGCAATCAAAACGCAGTTGTTTTCTCTAAGCTCTCCTCTTAAGAACTGAGAAATAGTGACTACCTTGCCTCCACGTAAATCAGAATGAAAGGCACTCCCATGAAAAGCATGGAATCCTCAACATGAAAATGTGTGCTCTGAAGGAAAAGCGGTCACAAAGATTGAAGCCTGGAGAAAGGTAAATGTATTGCTGATCTAGAAAAGCAACAGGGGTAGAAAAATGTCCTTCTATCCACCCCCATCGTTAAGAGTTTAAGTGGACAGTAAACAAAGTAATGTCGTTGTGAACTGCGGGTCTGAGCTTAAGGCACCTACAACAGCAGCCAAACAAAAAATTGTTTGGAGGATTGAAGATAGGGATGTAAAACAAAAATGTAGACAAGCTGGTATTTCTGTACTGTGAACACCTAGTTAAAAAAAGGTTTTCCCCCTTCTGAAATACCCCATCAGTACTTTTGGTACACATACCTCGAAGAATTCTCTCCTCATGGCAACGTAGAAAGTCCCAGATTCTAACAGTGCCGTCGTCAGAGCATGTAGCAAATTTATTATCCGTGGGTGAGAAACTGTTACATGAAGACACACAGCAGGGGAAAGAAGTCAGCATTTAACAGATTATCTATGCTTCTCAGACAGGGCAAAATTATACTGTAAGGTGTTATACACTGAAAGATGCATTTGAACATAGGGACTTTTAAGTGAATATGGTGCCTGCCACTTCATCACAAGACATGAATTTAGCATAGGATTACTATTGCACTGCAGTCCCCGGTGAAATGAGAACTCCAGAATTTATTCTTAGCACCTTCCTACCTATGACTGCATATAGTAGTGCCTTCTCTGCAGCATGAGAAGCAATGCCAATGACTTGGGAACTGTCACCCTAGATTTTCATGTTTGGCAATACCAATAGAAAGTGACACTGTGTAGAGGCACAGGAGAACAGTTCTTGGGAAAAAACTCTTCGGCCACAGGTATTTTGCAGCAGAAAAGCAAAAATAAGGGAAAGCTGGTCATAGGAAAAAGCTAGTTGGAAAAAAACAATATATAAAACAAACATAAAACTCATTGTAAATGGAATTTGGAAAAATATCCCTTCTATTGCCAACCCCATTGACACCCTGAAAAGATTTCTACAGACACAGAAGCAGCTTCCAGACTGAGCAGTCAACATCTCTTGATGGAAGTCACTGGAAAAGCAAGGAGTTATTTAGCCAAGTGATTAAGGCCAGAACATCCCCAGCAACTGACAGCACTCACTCCCTTTCTGATGCAGTGAAAGTCCGTGAGAGAGCCCTCTTGAAATCTTAGGATCTTTATGATCAGGAGAGAGCTTAAAATAGTAGAGAAATTCAATGTATGGCCACAATATAGTCAGACAGTAACTGAATCCAACATAAGCACTTTTCATAACCAAACTAACAGAAAATGCTACACCTATCAAAGAAAAATGGTGACTTTAGTGGAACACGTTTTAGTGGCAGTGAACCTTTACCACCAAGGGCCAGCACCTGAACCTGAAGAATCACTGCTTTAGCTTCATTTGGGGTCTGCAGCTTCTCTTCAGGCTTACTTTAAAAACAGTTCTTCTACTTCCGTATCTTATTAAAGATTATATGCAGGTTTGCTTTAGAGACACCCTTCATTTACATCTTACTGATAGTATCACTTTAGATTCCATTTTTTTATATGCATAGACATTTGCACATCTGAGGCATCAACACTGAACCAAAGAGAATATCCTATGGTCTTCTTTTCAATGGCTTGCTTACAGTTTCAGGCTTGAAGAACCCATTCAGTATTAACATTAGACTTCTGTATGTGGCAGTCTGCGTTGGTATTTAGTATTACTGGAAGTCTTGGCTTCACCAAGCCAAGCAGTTCTTCACTTTATTTAGTGTTTTATTATTTTGTGAGAACTATGCAGGTGTTTTATTTCTGAAGGCTTTATATTTTATTCAGTTACGTTATTAAAGACTGAATTCTTTATTTGGAATGAAATTGTTGTCTTACACAGTGCGTATAAAAAGGAATAACTGATACACATCGTCACCATATAAAAATGAAAAGAATACCAGTGCAAAATGCGGCAGACAAATACATCTCTAACATATTGCAGAGGCGGATACTGGGACAATACTAGTTCAGAAAGGTGCCAGCAAAACGGTGAGAATGTGGAAACAAAAGAAAATATTGTGTTTATGTGGTGCAGGAAGTTTCCCAGAATCTGACAGAACCCATGCATTTCTTCACCCAGAATACACTTAGAGAACAGTCTAATCATCGCAATAGGTACTACAGAAAATGGTATATTGTGTATAAACCTGGCCTCTCTAATCGCCTCCTTATGTGCCTGGAACATCTTGACGTTGTTCATGTTGGACTGCCAGTATTTCACATATCCCCCATGGTCTGCTGTCAGCATCCACATATCATTGTGTGACCAAGTCATAGCCCTTACTGGGCTGTCGTGAGCCTGTAAATTCAGAAACAAAACATCTAGCAAACTTGTTCAAATACTGTCTGACCCAAACAAACATCAAAGTTTTAACAAGTTCCTACTTAAACAGATTAAACAAAAAAATGAAAACAGTAACGATCCAGTGAGATTCAATAAATTCTTGTTGGGGGGAAAAAAACATTCCCTTGTACTGTATACAACTGCCGTCTAAATAAAGAATATATACATATTGTTTCCAAATTATGTTGTTTTAGTATGAGTAGTGAGTCCCTGAGAACAGTTAGTAAAGCATACGGAAATGGAATGAGAAGCATCACAGTCTGACATAAGGTCAGAGCAAAATAAAAAAAAACAAAAAACAACAAAACACCCTGAGGCTCCCATTACCACACTTAGATCACTGGCCCACGATGAGGAGCAGGTGAAAAGTTTTTCCCCAAAACATGCTCCGGGACCTCAAGGAAATGCACAGAGACCTTGACAGATGAATTTACCTGTAATATTGTTTCAAAATTGAAAGTCAGTCCATTCCACAATGTGAACTCTCCACTAGATGCACCAGTAACCAAGCGTCTCCCCTCAGGAGTCCACTGCAAAAAGAAAGATTTAACTGTGCATTTAACTGTATTTATTTAATAATTTAAAGATTTAAATTTTAAATTAAATTTTAAAGATTTAACTGTAGCATTTCTTCACAACCCTCTAAATAAATCTTAAGCTTCTTCCAGGGAATTTCAGAACTAGTATTTACTAAGTGATTGGCTAGTGAATGCAAAATAGACAAAAATGTAGAAACCAGAGTTTTTGAATTTTGTAACAAGAGAACAAAGCTAGCCTGCTGTCGAACCACCAACAACAATTTAACCAAAGAGAAGAAACAGTTTATTGGCATCTACACACTCCTAGCAGACAATACTAAACAATACTGTTGACATAATGGAAAAGTTGTTAAAAGATGCTACAGGAGTCAAGGTGCACAAAGACCTAACTGCCTTTTATCTGATTACTAGTCCCCAAAACAATCCGAAAAAAAGATTAAATGCACCCCAAACTCTGAAAGAAGTACTTTGTACTCAGACCTTACCATTTAGTTTCCTAAAATCCTCCACAAAAAGCCTGTAAGTAGGCACAGTAGTCATCCGTGTATCCTACATTAGTTTTATTTGAAAATGCTTTAACTGATCTGATCCTTTGTTTCTCTCTGCAGTTAAGCATATCACGACCTTAAAATTAGACAATACAACTAAGTAAATCCAACACTATACTCACCCTGACAACAAATACTGGGCATTTTACTTTATTAGTAGATGTCCGAACAAATTTTGTTGTTACAGCATTCATAGGGTTGTTCAGCATTCCTATGGGAGGGACCAACTACAAAAAGAGAAAGAGATTTAGAAGTGACATTTCTAACTAGAAGGAAAGCATGCATTCTCAACACCCATTTCTAGAAAAGCAAGTGTTTCAGTTGCAGGAATATTATCAGGAGTAAGTCCGTGGAAGCAGACTGTATGAAGCAGAAGTCTGTATGATTTACCATTTCTAATCTGCAGAACAAGCATCTTCAAGAGCAATGTACTGAGCTCATTGTGTTATGAGAGTTTATGGTCATCAATTAAAAGGCTACCCAATTGCAGTTTCTCATGGACAGATTTCAACAGAACAAAATAATGTAAGGAGAAGACTCCCTTCATATATTTGAGACCTCTTGTGGACAGAAAGATAATCTCAGCTGACAGGCAGAGTTGCTCTGATTTTCTGGACCAATTTTATCTACAGAACGTCATCAGTTTCAGAAGAAAGATTTTACTTACGTCATTATAATATCCTGCATCAGGCTGGATTGCTCGCATATCTCGCTGGTCTCTCTGCCATACTCTATTCTGGAAAGAAAAAAACAACTTCTAGTTCGTATCACCACTACTTCACTGTTAAACAACAGAAAATAACGTGTGGACAGCCTGGTTGGCAAATCCCAAAGCACAGTGGCCTAAGCATCAAGTAAAGATAACATAGCATTGAAATGCAAAAAACCTAAAAGACCCAGTGATAAAAATACCTTGTGTATGTTAAATTTGACATGCCAACAACAACTTTTTAAAAGTATTTTACATAGTCATTAAAATCGGAAAAGATCTCCAAGATCATCTGGTCCAACCATCACCCTACTATCAATGTCACCCACTAAACCACATCTCCAAGCACCACGTCCAACCTTTTCTTAAACAGCCCCAGGAACACCCCGACACCACTACCACCCCAAGCAACCCATCCCAATGCCTGACTACTCTTTCTGAGAAGAAATGTCTCAGAATTTTCAACCTACCCCCCACCCCTTTTTTTTTTTTTTTGGGAGGGGGGGCATTCCTAAAATATTAAGAATGTTTTAATATTTGGTATTTAAACAGATCTTAAACAATAACTTATAAATTTAAGTAATACAAAAATCTTTGAATTGTTAACATCTACAAACTACAATCATGCACTGGCCACAGTAGACCAAATTCAGTTCATCACACCTTTGCAATGTTGCTGTTGAGATTTGAACAATTCCTCTATCTGCAGATTTGATTCTCTGTCTTCTGAGCTAATGGTCAGCATTTGTAGAGTACATCTTGATCAAAAAATTTTATTTACGAAGAAATGTATACCACCCCATCAGGAAAGCTAAATAATCACTTTTCACAGAACCACTGCTTCAGAAAACTTCATTAAAGTTGCTCTCTGTCTTTTAGGAGTACAGAATAGGATTTTCAGAGACCACAGTTCAAAACAGTGTTATTTACTAAAATGAAAATACATTTTATGGTGATCTGGTTTTGGAGGACAAAGGGAAATGGTTTATTTCCCACTTCAAGAACTTTTTATTTCAAAATAAAAGAATGATTACATTGTTTACACTGAGTTGTGCCCACCAAGAACTCAGAACATTGCACAAGACATTCATATGCACTCCCAAGTTGTAATTCCAAGACAGACAATGTTAAAATTGATGTTTCCAATTTAACTGTAAATCCAGTTGCGTATATGTGCAGTTTTATTAGGAATGACCAAAAACGTGTGTTCACCCTGTACCAAGTTTACAGGCATTTGTCACTTAGTTTGAAAATGCAGCAGGAGATATCTCAATATTCCAGAGTGCTCTACAGACATCTGGAAAACGGAATTCCACATTTCATGAAGGAAAAATGTTTTTCAAACAAAACCAGAAAATTAACCAACCTCCAAATATTTAATTACAGAGGGATTGTAGTCTATAGTCTTTCGGTTCACAGCTTTTCGCATTCGTTTTCCATCAAAAGTAAGCTGTTGCATTGCTTGCTGCTGTGCAAAGTCAGGTCTTTTGTAGAACAACTGCCGAGGCGCCTGGTGCTGGAACCTCGGCATATGGAAAAATCGGGGCGGGGAGCCAATTTCTGTGGCCATGGCTGTCTTGTTTCTGAAAGACTGAAAAAAGGAAAAGAATAGGTTACTACACAATAATGATAAAGCTGCAGTATTAATACTTCCAATAACTTAAGTATAAATAATGCTTCTACCCAGTAAACAGGACTTCTTTAAGTTACATTTGCAGCGTTCTCTGAACAAGTGTTTTTCTTCCTCTGTGTCACATATCACTCACCTTAAAGCGATCAACTTGCTTTGAACAAGTATTGAGAGGAATTTTGTACTGCAACTGATCGCTATTAAGTCTCTTTTATTATTGCTTAACTGTGCAGGAAAAGGATGTCCTCAATAAGATTAATACAGGCAAGAAACAAGCAGCTCCTTCCAAACAAGGTGACACTTCAGATTCAGTATACAGCAGGAAACACCATGGTACTTGCCATTTAAACTATTAACAAGGAAAGAAGTTTTAAAGGACTGCCCTAAAATCTTACTCTAGGATGCAAAAATAAAATTACATTTCCTTTACATAGTTTATAATAAACACACCACAGATGACTTTCTGCCCTAAGGTACGCCTTCAATGCCATTACTGTAAAATAAATCAATGATGCAATTTTCAAGATGCTCTAAGAATAACCAAATATCGCCCCTGTTGAGGTTTAACCCAGCCAGCAGCTCAGCACCACATAGCCATCCACTCACTCCAACTAACCAATCCCAGGTGGAATGAGGGAGAGACACAGGGAAAAAAAGGAAAAAAAAAAAAAAAAAAGTGGGTTAAAATAAAGAAGGCTTAATGAGACAGAAAAAAAAAAGGCAATAATAAATAAGAATAAAAATAATGTACAAATCTAGTGATGCAAAATGCCATTGCTCACCACCAGCAGCAATACAGATTTTTTTTTCTGACAAAGAAAAATTAGCCTAAAAGTAATTTTTAATTCTGTAAAATCTCCAAGTGATACCATAGCAAGCTCCTCACAGCTGAAAACTACAAAATACAATGTTTTTAATGTAAATACTGACTTCAGATTAAGTATTGACACATGCTGAACCAGTGAAAACTCAAACTTAATTTTCAGCTAGCAGTCCTCTTGTCCCCAGGTTGTAGTTTGGCATTAGTTTTAAACCAAAATAAATTGAAGAAAGCAAAAAATGCTGAGAAGCCTTACTTGCACAAACGCTAACATGCTTACACAGAGTCAGCGCGTGTTTACTAACAGGAATGAAAATGGAACTGGTAGAATTCAGAACAAGAAACTGAAATCTGCTTGTACGCCCATGAATGCAATTTCCTGTTTAATTAAAGTACTCGGACCCTCAATTTGAGGGAGCTGGAAAGGTATTTCAACCACTGAGCATACAGCTTTATCTTACCTTTTTTAATCTTAGTAATTGGAAAATGTTTCAATTTTTTAAACAGCGAAATAAAGGTCAGAGACGCGTTAGATATAAAAGAGGGTATGAAATAGCGCCGCGGTGCAGGCTGCCCTTCCAACACGCGGTTGTTGGTATGGGGCAGGGCTGACACTGCACAGGCTTTGCAAACCTACAAGTCACACGCTCCTTCCTACTGCTGACCGAATGTGCGTCAGGTGAACGGCAACAAGCATCAATGACGACATCTGGCTGTTAGCTATGAAGACAAAAGTCTGAACTAAAATGACATTTCCTTAAATGAGGTCAAAAAATTTAAGACCGTTGGCAGGAATAGCATCTTCTATTAGACCAATTTGTGTACCTGGAAAAAGAACTTTTACATAAACAAGCCTTCATATTTGCCTGAAAGCTGCTCAGGAGCCAGCAGCCTAATAAGATACAGCGTTTGGAGATAGACCTAGTAACATCCCTGTCACCACACCATTACTGAAACATTAAGCTCCTGGCATACTTCCTGCGTGAGAAAGTTCTGCCAAGTACCCCAACACTATCTCAGATTCTCCTACAACTCTTAGGAAAAGAAAACTAGAAAAAAAAATCCAGTTCTAACTACTCTCAAGTCTGAAGATACCTTTAAGCCAGAAAAAAAAAAAAGTAACTTTTCAAACCCACACAATATCTGTATTCCCTTATAGGCAATGGAAAAATGAATTTCAAGAACCAAGAGTAAGAATGCAGACACACACATGCTGCAGCTTCCAAAACACTTTGATCAGGTATTTGCAAGAAGACTTTATATAAAAATGCCTTCTTAGAGAAATGCTCCAAAGCAACAGGTTAATTCACCCATCACTCTCATCTTTCAGAAAAACAGACCTCCTGAAAAAAAATCTCTTTCAAGTGTAGGTAAATAAACATTTGCTATGTGAGCCATTTTAGACTGGACATTCCCAAAGCTATTGCAAGCAGTCTCTGGCTTAGATTGTTGCAAACACCATTCACTTAAAAGGAGTATCAGACAAAACAAAGGTTTATGGTTATCAAAGACATATGTGAATGTTAATTACACCTCTTCACACTTAGGCCCTGCTCACTGAGGTCGTGGTTGTGACAAAACCATGTGACAAAACACAAGATGACGCAGGATTAAGGAAATTAAGACTTTATGTTCTTTTTTAAAAACATGTTTTCTCCAGCTTTTGAGATCACTGCCTCCATCACAGAAAGCTTCCTACATGCAGTTGCAAACTGTATGAATTTACAGAAGGATTTAACCCAGCTGCTCATAATTATGTCCTTCTAATAATGCCTCAAATATCATGTTTTTATTCACATAATATTCTTACACCCAAGTCATCTTTGCATATGTCATAGCTATAGCGCGCAGGTGTGTGTATATACACACAGCGAATGACGTTTCCACAGAAGTTTTAGAAATGAAAGGTTTTCCTGTGCAGTCAGTTACCAGATCAACACGGAACATTCACCTCCAAGAACTCCTACTTGAGCCAGACAAACACAGCAGTTTAATATTGAAGCTACCAGTACCCTAACTTGTCTTGTGCTTCTGAGACCAATGTCTCTACAGTCTCTCCCTTAGCTTGCTTGTATCAGCTAAAAAACTGTCTGTAAAGTTAAACTTTAAAGGAAAACACTTTTGCAGTATAACAAATAGTGAAAATTAACTAATTATTTGCATTGCAATAGCACATTGGAGTCCAAAATATGATTCAGGTCATTCAGTGGAAAAAAAAAAAGAAAACTTTTATAGAAGAACTAATTCAGCTTTCCCAGGCAGAAAGTACAAGATAGCCCCACCGTGCAAAGTCAGCATAACGAGTCATTGTTCAACACATCAGTAATGCCCACTTCCTTTGACTGGAGAAACGTTACTAAAAGGAAAGAAAGCAGCAGTTATACATTGTAGGTTTAACAGCTGTGCTTGTCCAATTTCAAAAATCCTATGATGAGCAACCAACACCCTGCATTAAGAAACCCTTAAGTACATCTAAATAACAAACATCAGACCAAGTCCAACACGTTATTCGGTGCTGAAACTTTGCAAGCGAAGGCATTCCAAAACATTCTCCCTTTTTTCATACTTTGAAACAACATTCATCTCTGCTCTGGAGACCAGCAGCGGGCACTTCCATGTCCTGCCCATTCCTGAAACATTCATGTTATTTCTGGGAAACCTCTTGCTAGATCTCACCATCCGGTGTTCTTCCTTACCTGGGAATCTTCTTCCCATTGTAAAGGAATTATGTGGAGGAACATATTCCTGATGCATGCTACTCCCGCCATCTTTAGCAAAATGTTTCAAGTTTTAAAGACCAAAACCCCAGATACGTTCACACCGCTCATTTTACTCTCCACTACATAGGAATGGAGCAAACCACCACGGCTAAGGGCTTCGAACTGCAAGACTCATCGGCCTGTCTTGGAAGCACAAAATTACCGGGGGAGGGTTAGATTAAAAAAAAAAAAAAAAAAAAAGATTCTTTGTTTTTGCAAGTCATCTAGTCTTGAAGCAAACTGTCTTCCTAATGGCTTAAATTACCTGAATTAGGCATTCTGAAAATAGTTCTTCCTTTAAAGAGGGAACAAACCTCAGTAAAAGATTAAATCAACATTTTTGCATCTCCCCTACTTCATTTGCTGAAGCAGATACGTTTATAATCTACAAATGTTAGAAATACACATTACTAGAAATGCTGAAAAAAAAAAAAGCATGAATAACAACTTCCACTACACTTTCTTGAAGATACACTGGGAATCTGCTTAAAGCAATTGATCCAGTTGCCAGTGAATTAAACTCTCCCAGCAGAGGTAACTTTGATTCTGCTCCACGTTGCAATTTTTCTGAAGAAAAGATTGATCACATTTCCTTCACAGTACAAAACAAAATTCCACAGGGAAAAGAGGAAAAAAATATGAAGAAAAGAGGATGCTAACTTTAAGAGCTAATAAAGAATATGTTATTTTGACCCATTCCTCAAACTACTTTGTGTTTCAATCTCCTGTTTTATTGGAAAATGCTTCGTTACATTTATGGTATAACAATTACCCAAAGTCTGAAAAGTGTACAAGTGTGTGAGGCACTCAAGAATCTCAAACAATTTAAACAGTACTTTTTATTACCTTTTAACGGTAACATTAAAAATAATAAATTAAAATAATAGAAAAAATATATTTTTTTCATAATAAAAGAAGTAACATTATGTTACACACAGGCTGAGCAATTAGTGGATTGGGAGCAGCCCTGAGGAGAAGGACCTGGAGTTGGTGTTTGGGGAAAAACTGACCACAAGCCATCAATGCATGCTCACAGCCCAGAAAGCCGCCCGTACCCTGGTGTGCCCCAACAGCAGAGTGCAGGAGGGGATCATGTCCCTCTGCTCTGCTCTCATGAGATGCCCCCCCTGCAGCCCTGCGTTCAGCTCTGGGGCCCAGGAGGAGGCCCCACAAGAACGTTCAGAGGGCAGGAGCACCTCTCTGCGGAGCCAGGCTGAGGGAGTTCAGGTTGGGCAGCCTGGAGAAGAGAAGGCTCTGGGGAGACCTCACAGAAACAAAGAGCGTAAGGGGAGCCTGTAGGAGAGCTGGGAAGGGACTTGCACGGTAGAGTGCAGGGACAGGAAAGAAGTCACGGCTTTGAACTAAAAGAGGGCAGATTTATA